TTGTCTTGGATCATTATATTGCTGAGAATAGCTAAGTCATTCAAAGTTCTTCAACATACAATATTGCTGTTACTGTGTACAATATTCTGGTTCTGCTCACTTCACTTTGTATTAGATCATGTAAGTCTTTCCATGTTTTTCTGAAATCATCCTGCTTATCAGTTTTTATAGTACAGTAGTATTCTATTATAACCATATTTGTTCAGTTGTACAATCACAATTTGTTTAGCCATTCCCCAATTGGGCATCTCTACAATTTCCACTTCTTAGCTATCACAAAAAGAGTTGCTACAAATATTTTTGTATGTGTGGGTCCTTTTCCATTTTTTATGATCTCTTTGGGATACAGACCTAACAGTGGTATTGCTGGATCAAAGAGTATATACAGTTTTATAGCTCTTTGGGCTTAGTTCCAAATTGCTCTCCAGAATGGTTGGATCAGTTCACAAGTCCACAAATAGTGCATTAGTGTTCCAGTTTTCCCACATGCCCGCCAGCACTTAGTCATTTTCCTTTTTTATTCTTTCAGATGAATTTTGTTACTATTTTATCTAGCTCTATAAAAAAATTTTTGATAGTTTGGTATGGCACTGAGTAAGTAGATTAAAAGTATATTATAAGTAGATTAGCCAATCTGATGGGTGTCAGGTGGACACCTCAAGAGTTGTTTTAATTTCCATTTCTCTAAGCAGTAGTGATTTAGAACATTTTTTCATATGACTCTAGATGGCTTTGATTTCTTTGTCTGAAAACTGCCTGTTCATATCCTTTGACCATTTATCAATTGGGGAATGACTTGTATTCTTATAAGTTTGCCTAAGTTCTGTATATATTTGAGAAATGAGACCTTTATCAGAGATATTTGCTATAAAAATTTTTCTAGTTTTTCCTTTCTAATTTTGGTTGCAATGGTTTTGTTTGTACAAAACCTTTTTAATTTATCAGAATGACTCATTTTACATTTTGTAATGCTATCCAGATATTGTTTGGTCCTAAATTCGTCCCTCATCCATAGATCTGACAGGTAAACTATTCCATATTCTCCTAATTTGCTTATGGTATCACCCTTTATGTGTAAATCATGTATCCGTTTTGACCTTATCTTGGTATATGGTGTGAGATGTTGGTCTGTACCTATTTTCCGTTACACTGTTTTCCAATTTTCCCAGCAGTTTTTGTCCCAAAAGTTTAGATCTTTAGGTTTATCAAACACTAAATTAATATGGTTATTGACTATAATGTATTGTGTACCTAATTTATTCAGTGATCCACCACTCTATTTCTTAGCCAGTACCAGATTGTTTTGATAATTACGGCTTTATAATACAGGTTGAGGTCTGGTAGGCCACTAGGTTACCTTCCTTCACACATTTTTTCATTGATTCCCTTGATATTCTTTACCTTTTCTTCTTTAAGATGAATTTTGTTACTATTTTTTCTAGTTCTATAAAATACTTTTTTGATAGTTTGGTATGGCACCGAATAAATAGATTAATTTAAGGAGAATTGTCATTTTTATTGTATTGTATCACCAAGGTTCCATCCTGGGACAGGTGGATGTGGTGGCCGTCACCTCGCACGGGCACCC